TTCCTGACCTTTTCCACAGAATTTCCATTTATTTTACTTTGCAAAAGAAACATTTAATCTATAATATTTAAAATAAATGTACGACAATGTAATTAGGCGTAATAATCTTTAACCGACTGACTTAATGCCCTTCTAACCCTGACCCCCCCTAACAACCACCTTCGTAAAGACCCGCGAAATTACTAGGATATGTTATGCCTTAAACTGAATCTGGGAATTGTTACATAGAATTGATTTTACTTTGCAAAAGAAACATTTAATCTGTAATATTTAAAATAAATGTACGACAATGTAATTAGGCGTAATAATCTTTAACCGACTGACTTAATGCCCTTCTAACCCTGACCCCCCTAACAACCACCTTCGTAAAGACCCGCGAAATTACTAGGATATATTATGCCTTAAACTGAATCTGGGAATTGTTACATAGAATTGAAAAATAATAATCAAATTAAACGACATTAAAAATGTTCAAGTGAGCGACGACTCAAACAGTATTACTTCATTTGCTGTGTAAACATACCATATTTCTTCTTAATATGGCAATTTATAAAAAATAGTTTTGTTAATGAAAGTTAAATACTTCTTTCCTGAACAACATCGTGACCTTCTTAGTTATTGTTTACTATGTAGTAAAGCTGGACTGAGCCAACAATATCAATGTATACTGCTTGTATGCTGGTAATAACCACCTCCACCTACATATTACAATATTACTTACAAATAAACCTACATCAACAATATAATATCAATTCCCTCTCAATAATTATAATATACAACTTTTATTAATTTATACTACCTTTAATATAAACCTACATCAACAATATAATATCAATTCCCTCTCTATAATTATAATATACAACTTTTATTAATTTATATTACCTTTAACATAATCCTATACTAACAATATAATATCAATTCCCTCTCAATATTTATAATATACAACTTTTATTAATTTATATTACCTTTAACATAATCCTATACTAACAATATAATATCAATTCCCTCTCAATATTTATAATATACAACTTTTATTAATTTATATTACCTTTAACATAAACCTACATCAACAATATAATATCAATTCCCTCTCAATAATTATAATATACAACTTTTATTAATTTATATTACCTTTAACATAATCCTATACTAACAATATAATATCAATTCCCTCTCAATATTTATAATATAAAACTTTTATTAATTTATATTACCTTTAACATAAACCTACATCAACAATATAATATCAATTCCCTCTCAATAATTATAATATACAACTTTTATGAATTTATATTACCTTTAACATAAACCTACATCAACAATATAATATCAATCCCCTCTCAATAATTATAATATACAACTTTTATTAATTCATATTACCTTTAACATAAACCTACACCAACAATATAATATCAATTCCCTCTCTATAATTATAATATACAACTTTTATTAATTTATATTACCTTTAACATAAACCTACATCAACAATATAATATCAATTCCCTCTCAATAATTATAATATACAACTTTTATTAATTTATATAACCTTTAACATAAACCTACACCAACAATATAATATCAATTCCCTCTCAATAATTATAATATACAACTTTTATTAATTTATATTACCTTTAACATAAACCTACACCAACAATATAATATCAATTCCCTCTCTATAATTATAATATACAACTTTTATTAATTTCTATTACCTTTAACATAAACCTACATCAACAATATAATATCAATTCCCTCTCAATAATTTTAATATACTACTTTTATTAATTTATATTACCTTTAATATAAACCTACATCAACAATATAATATCAATTCCCTCTCAATAATTATAATATACTACTTTTATTAATTTATATTACCTTTAAGATAAACCTACAACCTTTAACATAAACCTATACTAACAATATAATATCATATCCCTCTCAATAATTATAATATACAACTTTTATTAATTTATATTACCTTTAACATAAACCTACACCAACAATATAATATCAATTCCGTCTCAATAATTATAATATACAACTTTTATTAATCTATATTACCTTTAACATAAACCTACATCAACAATATAATATCAATTCACTCTCATTAATTATAATATACAACTTTTATTAATTTATAATACTACTTTTATTAATCTATATTACCTTTAACATAAACCTACATCAACAATATAATATCAATTCCCTCTCAATAATTATAATATACAACTTTTATTAATTTATATTATCTTTAACATAAACCTACACCAACAATATAATATCAATTCCCTGTCAATAATTATAATATACAACTTTTATTAATAATGTAAGTTAAATGCATCGTTATCGACCTTCCACTCCATTGGTTATAATCGTCTGACAGTTGTATTATATTTCCTATCACGTGCATTACAATTCTGAAGCATAAATTAAATATAGGATTAGTTTGGATCTCTATTATGAGGCGCTCACCAACTTTGCAATAAGGGCATAGTGGTCTTGGACTTCTGAGTCAAAATAATAATTGTCCACAATTCTTCGTTACAGTTTGTGAATTAAGAAAAGGCGTTTCCTCGGTAGTTTTTATTTATTTAGTTCATCTAATTAGTCTGTTTCAATGAAATTTCTGTGATATCCACAATGTTATATTCATAATGTCTAAATTCTTATTTATAATTACCTTCTGAACTAGTTAGCTGAAATTCTCTTTCAATCGCTCCATCATCGTCTGATTTAGATAACCATCGATTACACACAAACTCATAATGTCGACCTTTAGATGGCAAATCAATACTTACTGTACCTAAGTACCACCCAGGGCCTGGCCCGGAGTTATCATGTTCTATTTTAATTCTTTCAATCTAAAATCAGACAGTCAATAATCTACTAGTAATAGTAATGTAAATAATGTAAGATATTAACAATGAGTGTTTCCTTGTCAACATTCAAAACAACATAAATCAACTGGAACTATAACTAAAAGGTTTAATTAATAGTCTAGTTATTAGGGTAGAAATTTTGAAAATGAATTGTATTCTGTCAAAATAAAATACCAAACAATAAAAAAACATTTTCTTAGAAATCCAAAGAATTCTAGGAGTAAAAATAGACTTGTGGGATTTCAAAGAAACGTTCAAGTGAGAGGCATTTCTGGGTATCAGTCGGTAATGTATTTTTCCAACATATTTCAGATATGCCGAATCGGAAAAAAACTGTTTCAAAACAAAATTCTGGGTTCTGTACCTCAAAATTTTCATATCAAATAGTCTGCTATAAGACTTTCATTTAAAACTTTTTATATTTAATATTAAAATCTTTTTCGTTTCCAATATTAACTACAGATTGTCAAAATCTCCTATGGAAAGTTAAAATCAAGATAGTGGACCTCAGCCAAATGCGGAAGGTAAAAACGAAACATCCATTTTAAGTTTCATCAAAATCATTTGAAAACTAAGAGAGTAATAGCATATTCAAGATTTTGGGACAAGGACAATAACTCTGCTTCTAAAGGTCGAAAATAGCTCAAATTCGAACTTCGTTTTATAAATATGTATACACATACCGAATTTCATTTGATTCCATAAAAAAAATCTAGTTTTTAGAGCGTTTACAAGCAAATGTTGACGGACGGAAGGTGGTTATGATCTACATTAGCACCCAAATTTACGATAAAAATAAACACCAATAAAAACAGTGTTAAGATAAGATAAAAGAAATACAAGTGAAACCCTGCTGCAAATTTTGTAGAAAATACTTTATGTTCAGTCTCTATTTCTATGGTTATCGGATTTCCTTACCTGTCCAATGACTGGAGCTGTAAGTATAAAAGTATCAATGTAGTTTCGTTTAAACGGATCAGAATGATTAAGAGATTGGTCTAGTTGTAAAGGACCTGTGTCTCCACGACTACCATAAATTCTCAGAGTAACTTTGGCGTTGGTCCCTGCGTAAACTACATCTCCTGTTTTTACTTCTACTCGATACGAGGTATCTGAAAAACCAGTCAACAATTTCATATATGTTTTCATTAGAAACACTCTAAGTTTGGCAGTATTCATCTTCACAATGATCAAGATATTACATCTTCATTTTCTACAATGATCAAGATATTACATCTTCATTTTCTACAATGATCAAGATATTACATCTTCATTATCTACAATGATCAAGATATTACATCTTCATGTTCACAATGGTCAATATATTACATCTTTATCTTCACAATAACCAATATATTACATCTTCATCTTTACAATGATCAATATATTATATCTTCAACTCTCTGGTTTACATGAGAGAGGTTGCTGCAGAAGTGGGACCTGAAAGGACACTTCCTGTCTTATGATGCTTGTAACATTGATCAGCTTTATACATCCTCTGAGCATCAGTCTAATACAATTCAAAAAGTCGTTTGCACTATTATCATTATTAATAAATAAACCAAGTACTAACGATCTGAACCGCAAAACGCAACCCGAAATACGTCGTAAATTAGAAACGAAAAGATTTCTGAAATTCTATTTGTTTTTCTATGTGTCCAGCCTATTTCATCAACATGATTTAACTTTCAACGTGGTGGTTAAAATAGTGACTGTACTTCGCCTATGAACACGAAACAGTTCTAGTTTCAGCACCTCTGTTGAAGATTAGGATAGGTGTTCAGTAACAGTGTTCTACTAATGCTAGATGAAGTTATGGAGAAAAGTAGAACGATGTAAATAGTTTTTAATATCAAACTTTACCTTCGGGTAAAACCGTAACCATACCAACATCTACTATTGGTGAATGTGGAAACTGATTATAAACATAGCATATCTGACGCCCTTTATGATACGCAAAACCAAAACATACGTCATCGGCTAAACAAGAGTGTGCACATCGTATCCGTCCAGGTAAAACTTTATAATCATAATATCCTGAAAATAGTTGGTCATTTGAGAAAGAGACATAAGTTCTAGAGATTATCTCAAAAGATTCACCAATTACAAATATAAACATACATCTCAACAATATCGACAACATTTTCCTCGGTTTGACTTGACGATACGAAACAATTGATTCTGAAGATAGTGACTTTTCTGCGTTAAAAGAAACATGCATCAATTTTATTATTATTGATTGCTGTACAATATTAAAAATTATTATTTTAACTGACTTCAATAATATGAAGTAAAGAAAATGACTAAAGTAGTTCAGTAGGAATTCAGAAAATAAAAAATACAGATTACATTTGTACAGTCTTCGTTGTGATTATTATTTTAAAAAGGATTGTTGTGCTCTATTGTAGTCATATAACTCATATTTTTATAACAAATTACCCTGTTCTTATCGACAATAGACTGATATAACGATTTATTAATGATTTGGTTTTCAAGAGGCTGTATTAGCAATTTAAGTCATTAGATGCTATGTATCAAGTCGAGAACATAGACTGTTGTTAGTTGCTCTATATCGAGACGAGAACATAGATAGTCTGTTGTTAGATGCTATTTATCGAGACGAGAACATAGATAGTCTGTTGTTAGTTGCTATGTATCGATACGAGAACATAGATAGTCTGTTGTTATCTGCTATGTGTCGAGACGAGAACATAGATAGTCTGTTGTTAGTTGCTATGTATCGAGACGAGAACATAGATAGTCTGTTGTTAGCTGCTATGTGTCGAGACGAGAACATAGATAGTCCGTTGTTAGTTGCTATGTATCGAGACGAGAACATAGATAGTCTGTTGTTAGCTGCTATGTATCGAGACGAGAACATAGATAGCCGTTGTTAGTTGCTATGTGTCGAGACGAGAACATAGATAGTCTGTTATTAGCTGCTATGTGTCGAGACGAGAACATAGATAGTCCGTTGTTAGTTGCTATGTATCGAGACGAGAACATAGATAGTCTGTTGTTAGTTGCTATGTATCGAGACGAGAACATAGATAGCCTGTTGTTAGTTACTATGTATCGATATGAGAACATAGATAGTCTGTTGTTAGCTGCTATGTGTCGAGACGAGAACATAGATAGTCCGTTGTTAGTTGCTATGTGTCGAGACGAGAACATAGATAGTCTGTTGTTAGTTGCTATGTGTCGAGACGAGAACATAGATAGTCTGTTGTTAGTTGCTATGTGTCGAGACGAGAACATAGATAGTCCGTTGTTAGCTGCTATGTATCGATATGAGAACATAGATAGTCTGTTGTTAGCTGCTATGTGTCGAGACGAGAACATAGATAGTCTGTTGTTAGTTGCTATGTGTCGAGACGAGAACATAGATAGTCTGTTGTTAGTTGCTATTTATCAAGTCGAGAACATAGATAGTCTGATGTTAGTTGCTATTTATCAAGTCGAGAACATAGATAGTCTGTTGTTAGTTGCTATGTATCAAGTCGAGAACATTGGTAGTCTGTTGTTAGTTGCTATTTATCAAGTCGAGAACATAGATAGTCTGTTGTTAGTTGCTATTTATCAAGTCGAGAACATAGATAGTCTGTTGTTTGTTGTTATTTATCAAGTCGAAAACATAGATAGTCTGTTGTTAGCTGCTTTTTATCGATATGAGAACATAGATAGTCTGTTGTTAGTTGCTCTATATCGATACGGGAACATAGATAGCCTGTTGTTAGATGCTATTTATCAAGTCGAGAACATAGATAGTCTGTTGTTAGTTGCTATTTATTAAGTCGAAAACATAGATAGTCTGTTGTTAGCTACTATTTATCGATATGAGAACATAGATAGTCTGTTGTTAGTTGCTATGTATCGATACGAGAACATAGATAGTTTGTTGTTTGTTGCTATTTATCTATTCGAGAACATAGATAGTCTGTTGTTAGCTGGTATGTATCGATACGAGAACATAGATAGCAGTAGTATATGAGCTTATAAATTGGTCGCATTTCATTTCATGGGGAAAATGCAACCAATATATAAGCTCCCAAAAAGACCTAATATCCCTACATTTCATAAATTCTTACACTTAAAGACCTAAACTCCCTGTAAATTATTACACCCTATTCTCCCTACATTTCATACACTAAAAACACCTTCAATCAATTTCCTACATTCCATCAAAAAAGAGAGTATATGAGCTTATAGATTGGTCGCATATGGAATTCCCCATTCCATTTCATTTCATGGGCTCAATCTATAAGCTCCCAAAAAAGACCTAAATTCCCTACATTTCATAAATTCTTACATTAAAAAACACCTTCAATCAATTTCCTATATTCCATCAAAAAAAGCATATTAAAATAATGTAGAAGGGAGAAAAAACAATTTTCTACTCAAATTTAAACCTTAAAAATGGCAAAAAAATACTAGATCCAATCTTTAGATTATACTATCCAATTCGTTATTCATTTAACAAGAAAAAAGAGGATTATATTATCATCTCACCAACTGTTGGTTCTAAATCCCAATTGAATGATGGTGGTAGATTTACCTTCGAAATAAATTCATTATCGAATTGGTTGCTTCTTTCCGATGCTTATTTCAGATGCGATTTCAAAATAAAAGATGGAACTCCCAATGAAAATCGTGTTCCACAAACAAATACAACGTTAGAAAACAATTTCTTTTCATCTTTATTTAGCGAGATGGTTTTGGAAGCTGGTTCAAATCCCATAGAAACAATCAAACATCCTGGGGAATTCGACACAATGTTGAAAACAGTTTTATATCCTAAAGATTTTGATTCAGTTTCAGGCTGGATACCCGATGTTGGCGATGGAAGTATTTTAAAGGAACCGGTAAGAAATCTTGCAAATGATGCTGATTTAGCTAGAGTGAGAGTTGTTGCTCGAAACACAATAGAAAGAGTAGGACGAGCTGCTAATCATGGATTCGAAAAACGAGTACTTCAGTATAATAATGTTGTTGAGAATAAAAGGTGGGGTAATTACGTAAATTGGAAATTATATCCTTTATTCGGTCTGTTGGAACATAGAAAAGTTTCCATAGGCTTACCATATAAAATTCATCTACAAAGAGAAATCAACGACGATAAGATATTCTTTGGAGAGAATGGTTCAGATGCAAAATTAGAAATAACGAATCTCCAACTTTTTCTACCCGTAATAACACCATCAATTGAAGTAGAAACGAGAATATTCAACTCGTTAACTAAAGATATTGAAATAGCTTTTCTTCATCGCATTAAACCAGCAAGATATTTAATAGTTGGTTTCAAGAATTTACCAGATTCTCAATAATAACAATAATGTCTTCAGAGTGGCAATGAACCAAACTCAAGATCCTTTAATCCATAAAGTTCAAGTAAGTTTAAACAACGATAATTATCCTAACCAACCTTTAACAATTAATCCAACCACAAAGGATTATAATGAATTGTATAGAAACTATAAAAATATGTGTGAATTATTCGGAAATCTACCTCAGTTTGAATATGTAGATTTTGCACTTTATCATCCAATCTTCTGTTTTGATCTATCAGCTCAACAAGAAGATCTTTTCAAAAAAGGAGTGAACATAAATATTCATATTGAAAAACACAAGGTGATGTAACAGGTTATTGTTTATTATTGGAAGAAGCAAAACATTTAATTGAAATAACAGATAGAAGAATGATAAGAATTGAGTAAAAAATACACCTTTAAAAATGAAACAAGAAACTTTAGTCAAGAAAATAATAGAAGCTATAGAAACAGCTTCACCAACTACAATATCTTATAATGGTAAAAAAATCAGCATAACTAAAAAACTTATTGATAAATATAAATATTGTGAAGTCAGAGACGATATAGACTTAGAAAGAATTGACGCGAACGCAAAAGAAGGTGGATTTATATTTTCCCTACCTTTAATATTTAGTGGACTTATTGCAGCCGGTACAGTAGCTGGTGGTACAGCTGCCGCAGTCAAAGCTGCCAACGCAAAGAAAGCTGCTGATGCAGAAGCTGCTGCTACAAAAGCTGCCAACGCAAAGAAAGCAGCCGAAGATCATAGACACAATTTAGTAATGGAAAAGTTGGCAGCAGAGGTTAAAAAACCTAAAACGGAAAAGAAAGGTTCAGGAGTGGGAGAA